CCTGGGGTTGTTCCTGCCCAGATGCAGGAAGCACCATTGCTTTCACGCCCTGCTCCTGGTGCAGTTCCTAGGAGCTTCCCAAGGGTTCAAGGCTGCGAGGATGAACCTGGAGCGCAGCGCTATCCCCTCTGGATTGGGAAGCTCCTTCCTGGAAGCCGTGAAGGCGGCACCGGGAAGCTTTTCTGCTATTTTTTCCTGGAGAAGTGTGCCACGGCCCAGTTTTCCCAGCCTGACTTTCCCCAAAATGGGTCTTTTTTCTTATTTCCCTGTCGCTCTGATAATCTAAATGCGATTTTTCCCTTCCAACAAAGCCCACGACGCCGTTGTGTGTCAGCACACTGCGCTGCGTGGACTCCGCAGGCTGGGGTGTCTGGTCCCTTGATGCTACAAGCAAAGGAGAGCTTGGTTCTTTTACTCCATCCAGCATCTCCTGAGTCACGTACCCAAATCCAGGCCAGCTCAGCTTCATTCCTTTGCCTTCAGCAGCTCAGGGTGAGCCCTTTGGGCTGAGGAGCCCTGAAGCCAGCGACCGGTCTGGTTCGTTTGCATCCAACTCCTGATGTTGTGGTAGAGCAACCCAGGAGCTGCATCTCTGCTGATGCACAGTGACACTGTGTGTGCCTCTCGTGTGCTTCACGGCCGGGATGGGAACACGTGGGCAGCTGCAGAGGTCAGGAAACCCCGATAACGCCGTGGTGGTTTTGCATCCCGGAGCCGTGCAGGCGCGTCAGCCGCTGCACGAGTGCACAAAGGTGGTTTCTGCCTTCTGCTTTGTGGTTTGTGAGAAACAGCTGTGCACAGCAGATTAAGTAGCTGTTATTTTGCAGACAGATGGGGATAACTCGGCCCTCCCCAGGTCTGCGGAGGGTTTCTGTGCCTTTCTTTGAGGGAAGGCTGTGTGCGCTGCAGGCTGCAGCCTGCAGGTCCCGTGTTTCAACGGGAAATCATCCTGTGGCGAAGGCTCGTTTCCGAGCTGAGCCCATTGGTCTCTTTATCCTCCTTTTCCTGGAGTCATAACCCTTGTACTGTGGGAAATGGTAGAGTCTGTTCACCGGTTCACGTTTGCCTCGCGTGTAGTGTGGGTGGATGCGCGTGGGTGTGCCGTGGGGACGGTCCCCGAGGCCTCTGGTGGCTGTGGGAGCCATTGCTGGAGGCTTCGAGCAGGAGCCCAGCTCCCCACATTTCCCGGTGGTGATTCATGGGCACCTGTACCTGTCTGGACGTGAAGTGCCAGCCATCCCCTTTGAGTGCTGGGGAGCTGTTTAGGAGGTATCCAGCTCTGGAGTGGTATTGGTGTGCTTAGCACTGCCCTGGAGGAATCGGCTGTGGGAGGGCACCTGGGCTCTCCACAGTGGAAAAACCACATTTATTTGCATGATCATGGACAACATTCAGCTGCCTTTGTGCTGGGTGGATGAGGGAATTTGTGTGACCCGTTTTGGCATCCCTGCTCTGACATTTATCACGTTTCTGGGGTTTAATTTCTCAAGCTGCTTCACCTGCAAGAGCAATTTGTCCGTGCCTCGGAGCGCTCTTCTGCCTCTACTTCCTATCATGCAAGGCTGCTTCCAAATTAAATATTCCTCGTGAAAACACTGGAGGATCTGTGATTGCAGCCCCTGGTTGTTCAAGGCCGATGCTGTTTTGCCCAGCTTGGTGAGCTGATGCCGTTGCCACACTCAGCCTTGGGCTGCGGTTACTGAGCTGGAGGAGGGTGACAAGAAGTGACAAGAAATGCCTTCATCCCAACCCCATCGACTTCTGAATGAGATCTGCATTCCCTTTTCCTCTTTTTAATTTCCTATGGTTGCTAATTAGGATTTTTTGGGGTGTTTTTCAGGTGCTGGAGAGTCAGGGAAAAGCACCATCGTGAAGCAGATGAAGTAAGTGGGAGCGCGGGCACCTCGACGGCGTTTTTGGGTGAGCTCAGAACCGTGCGGTGTCCTCCTGGCTCTGCTCGGGAATTGATGGCTTGGTTCTCTTCCAGGATTATTCACGAGGATGGCTACTCGGAGGAGGAATGCAAACAGTATAAAGTGGTTGTCTACAGCAATACTATCCAGTCCATCATCGCCATCATAAGAGCCATGGGAAGGCTAAAGATAGACTTTGGGGAAGTTGCCAGAGCAGTAAGTATTTCATTTATTTCCCTTCGTCAGAGTCTGCTGTGAATTGTGTGAATGAATCCTGGAAGCGCAGCCCCTGACACTCACACTGGAAATATGTTTTGTTTCGAGATACAATAGTGAAAGACCTCTCATCATCCGTAATGTGTTCCCGGTACCGAGTGCCAAGTCTTTTACTGGGGTTATGGGCAAGAACCTTTAGCGGTTTGAATGCTCAACAAAATAAACAGTCCCATAGCCTTTGTCTAAGCTATTTGAATTTTTAACAGAATTCTCAGCTTTGCTTTAAATCAGTCCTCGGTGTTCGCAGCCATTGCAGCAGTTAATTTTTAAGCTGAGCCAAAGAAATCTTAATAATTTTTGCTACTTTTATTTGTCCTCTTGGTTTTTTTTTTGGGGGGGGGGGTTTGAGGCCCTGCTTTTCCCCAATTTTCCAATTCTGCTGATTCCTTAACACTTCAGCTTGCTAGAAATTGCAGTCAGGAAGTCTCAGCCCCCATGGTGGTGGGGGACAGCACAGACAAATCGAGGAGTTTGGGCTCCTGAAGATGGGCAGGGGAAAGGAATTGTGTGTGTCTGCGTAGGGCAGTGGCCTGTGGCTCTGCTACCTGGCATTAATTCCTCACAGTTAATACGTGGTAAGTGAAGTAACGTGTGCTGTTTCCTGGTGATGCAACCACAGATATTTTGCACTGATGACAGAAAACATCCTGGCTGAAGGGCTGGTCTTGTCACCACGTTCAGCTGCTGCTCCAATCCCTCCACCTTTCCCTGTGCCTGTTGAAGCACAGCGCTGGTCTCAGCCCAGCTGAGGTAGCTGGGAGGAGGAAGATGTTTAAATGCCAGTTCCTCTCTCAGTGGACCTGCCCAGGCTTAGCCGGCTTCACAAAGGCAGAACAAGAGCCCAGTGCCAAGAATTTTCCCGTATCCCAGCCCAAAGCACAAACAACTCTCTTAGGATGAGACCAAGGGTAACCACATCGAGTGTCTCACACCACAGTGTAGCACCGTACCCGTAAGTGCTGTACCTGCAGAGACTCCTAACTGAGATCCAGGTCTGTGCTGTGGTGGTTCAGACCTTCATTAAGTTCATGTAGGTGCCCCTTGCTTGTGCCAGGGAGATCCCCTTTGGAGCAGCTTGGCTCTTGCCCATGCTTAGGTACTGGTTTGGGGCTCAAGTGAAAGGACCTGGTGCTGGGAGGAGATGATTTGAAGTTGAGATCTCGCTGGGATAGCAAAAGGTCTCTTTTGTCTTCCAAAAGGATGGTGGCAGGTCCAGTCGCTGCAGAAATAATCATCAGGATGGGTTGTAGGTCAGCCTGGTTTTCACTCTGAGACTGTTTGTTCCCTTGGAGAAGGGTGAGGTCCTGCTCTGAGACTTCTGGGAGAGTTTTTGATGCTCTAGGGCAAACTCTCAGATCCTGATCGCTCCATCATCTCCTGGTGACACACTTCATTAAAAAACTGGGCTCCCTTACTACTGCAGCAAATGGCATGCCCTCAAAGCTTTAAACCTATAACCATCCAAAGCTTGCTTTTGGTACTGAATTTTTCCTTGTCACCGGTCCAACACTATAATAGAGGTTTTCCAGTTTAAAATCTATTTCTCGTTTAGCTCACTGGGCACCAGTAGAGCACTGGCACCCTTACTTTTGCTCTGAAACATTACGCCAGGTTACAGAAACGTCCTGCTTCTGGTGTGAATGTCGCCTGCCGCTTTGGAGCAGCGATCCCTGCAGTGATGATGTGACAGAAGTGACCTGTGCTCAGTGCATCTCACCCATGGACTGGAGCTTCTTGCCCAAAATTTGCCTTTCTGACTGCAGGAGAGAAATAACTTGATGATTTTTGGGGGGAAGAGTGGATAGGGGAAACCATAATTCCTTAGAGCAGTTCCCACAGCCCCTAGGATCGTTACTGATGTTAACCCTGGCTGTAATTTGTAAGGAATAAAGGGCTGCAGATCCTCACTTGGTTTGATTTCTCCTCTTCCTGCAGGATGATGCCCGCCAGTTGTTCGTCCTGGCCGGGAGCGCGGAGGAGGGCGTGATGACGGCCGAGCTGGCCGGCGTGATCAAGCGGTTGTGGAGAGACGCCGGGGTGCAGGCCTGCTTCAGCAGATCCAGAGAGTATCAGCTCAACGACTCCGCGTCGTAGTAAGAGACCGTTACAGCTCCTGGGCTCCTCCCAGCCGATAAAACAGTGTCCAAAAAGGGCCGGTGGGACCGAAAACTTGGATGCTGAGGGGTGGCAGAAACTGGTTTATATGGGGCTGGGCTCATCAAAGTCAGTTCTGGTTTGTCTTCCCTGCATGGAGTATTGGGAAAAACCCCAAATTCCTTGTTTTGTGCCTAGGTGAACTTGCCAAGCTGTTTTTAGTGGAAGAATAACTTAGCAGCATGCATTGGGGTGGTGTTTTACAGCTGGGGATCAGCTGTGTCACCTTCATTGTCCCTACAGAGAGGAGAAACAGCTCCCAAACCCCAGCTCCTGCTTGCACCACCAAACTGGTGACGAGCAACAGCTTCCATTCGCGGGATCTCCTGATGCTGGCAGACCAATATTCACATTTTCTCCATGGTAGCTCTCACTGCGCTGTTGTCCTGTGGCTGGCACCGCACGGGCAGTGCTGCAGGCTGCCTGTAAACCCGCCGCTGCTGCTTCTGTTTCTAAAATGCACGCGATTGCTTAACAATTGGGAAGTTATGACCAGATAAATGGGCTGCTGCTGGCTGCTTGATGAGGAATTTGACTAAATGCCTCGTCTGATGCCAAAAGGCAGGTTAGTGCAGGGAGGGGAAACTGTTCCTTTTCATGAGCAAAACAGCCATCATGTGCTTGGTCTCTCTAAAACTAACGTTTAAAACTCCTGAAATGATGATTTTGGAGGTCAGTGTTTAGCTGCAAACTTGTCTCGATTTAGGCAAGTTTTCAGCCTTTGAAAAAACCGAGTTTGGCAGCGCTTTATAGAGAACCTTTAGATGTGTCACAGCTCCGTCGCCTGCAGGCTCTGTCTGCGCAGAGCACAGTTTAGCTTGCAAATAAGGGTTTGCTCAATTGGTAACACCTTGGCAGCTGTGGTGGGTTTAGATCAAGGTAAGCGGGGTGGCAGGAGGAGGCTTCCTCAGATCCATCTGTGCCTTTGCGAGGAGGAAACTTCAGATTCAAAGGGAGAAGAAAGGGAAGGTGAGGAATAATTTGATGAAGTGATACGGAGAAGGGAAGCTTAAAGGCTCCTTGAGCAGAGGATTTAGGGCAGAAAGCGTTGGTGGAGCCCAAGGAGGAAGCTGAAGATGGGGAACCTTGGCTTTGTGGTCTTGATGGTCAGCTTTGAAAGAGGAGAGTGAAGGCAAACAGGGCAGGAAGGGGTCAGAAACAGCAGATCTGAGGGCAGAGGGTGTTAGTAGGTGCCTGCTTGTGCTGCCCTCCTTCCAGAGCCTGCATGTGGGAGGATTATTTGTGTTCCTGAGTTATCTATGACCTGCACGGCTCCAGTTTCTGCACTGGTGTGAGCAGGCACAGCTGCAGTCGGATCCAGCCCTCAGCCCACGATGACCCACGCAGCGGTTTTTGCATAAGTACATGGGAGCTTTGCTCCCATCCCCAGACCGCAGGAAGTTGTTTTGAATTCGGTAGCCAAGCAACTCAGCAGTTGGGAAATGCTGTGAGGGGGTCCCTTAGTGCCCTTAAAAACCCAATTTCTCCTGCATGACCACGCAGAACGAGCACTCGGTATTTTCTCCTGCCTTGCTTTATCTTCTGCTGTTGCCCAGTTAATTCCCTGATCCACGCTTACAGGATGGGCCTCTTGCAATCCCTTTTTGAGGCACTGGTCACACAGGTACCAGCTTTTCTGCACAATTCTCCTGGGGGGATTTCACTGCCTTGCTCCTTTCCATATCCCCAACAAATGGGACCCAAACTTTGTTTTCAGGCTTTACATACGTGTCCCGTTTGAGGTGAGTGCTTTCCCAGCTGAAATTCAGTGCTGTGCTGTGTTTCAAGCCTGGTTCTGACTGACCGGGTGCTGCTCCTCGCTTCACATCAGACCCTGGGGCCTCTGCTGAGACCCTCAGAATTGGGGAAAAAGAGCAACAAATGAGCGATTGCTTGTGCACGTTGGGTGATATCAAGAATGAGAGCACCGTGGCAGAAAACCAAGCGCCAAATTGTTCCAGAAACTTTCCTTCCTGCTGTTTCCTGCCTCGCCGAGCGCTTCCCCCTGTGCAGGCAGGGATCCAGCGCGGGTGGGAGGAGAGGAGGCGCCACAGGCGTAAGCCATCAAAGATTACGACTTGTGACGCTAATCCCAGTGATCTGTCCTGAAATGGTAGCGTTTGCGTGATTTCTTCCCTCTTTTTATGAAGAACACAAGTAACTCCTGGTCCAAACTGGGGGTGTTTGAGCCCAGCGTCTTCTCCAGGCGCCATCAGCGACTGCGCGGCTCTGTTGGGGTGTTTCACACATCCCTCTTTTCACTTGTGTTATTGCAGCTTCCCAGCGGCTCCGTCGCTGCTCCCATCTCAGTCCCGCGTCCCCAATTTTTGGTGTGAGAGCTCCAAATAACACAAACCCTCGGGGTGGTGCAGCAGCGGGGATGCTGAGGCACGTTCACATCCCCAGTTACCTCTGTCTGAAGCAGACAACGCTTTAAAACGTTTTAGTTGCTGCTTTTGCCGAAGCTCACGCAGACACCCGAGCAGGAGGTAATTATCCCCAGTCTCTCAGGCAATTAGCACAGTTTCTGATCGCCCGTTCCCAATTCTGCCCTATCTCCTCTTGTTCCCACGTGGCAGCTTTGCCCTGAATTCCCCGCCATGATGCTGGAGAAAACCTAGATTACTTCTCTGTGTTTTTAGTCCTCCTCTTTGCTACCAAGCACCGTCTTGCAGGGCATCGGCCTCTTGTTTTGCATCCTGATGCTTTTTTGTGATTCCCCTCAGATAGCAGCACTTTGGGATCGCAGCTCGGGCGTTTGAAACGAGCTCTTTCATCTGTGCCTCTGCCTTAGCTGCCCCCAATTGATAAAGGCAATGCACAGCGTCAGCTTTTCCTGGAGATCCTGCTCTGTGTCTTTTTCTGCTTTGCTAAATCTACCCAAATCCAGCTAAACGTGATGGGAGACTTCTGGGAAAGGAAGTGCATTTCTTAAATGCAGGTGTTTTCACCCGTTTTCTTGCTGCAGGAAGCCTTGCCTGTAGATGATTAATTCTGTAGGAGCTACGAGGAATAAGCTGTTTGCATTTCCACACTGGCACAGCTGCTTGTGACGATGTTTTATTTGAAACCTTGGTGTCTGGCCGCAAACACCAACCCGCCTGGGTACCAAACCTGCATCTTTCTGCATCTTTCTTGTCTCCTCTCCCTGGCTTTCGCTGCTCCGCCTCGGGGCGCGACGGTGACAGCTCCTCCTTCCCCCCCCTGCCGACCGCCGCTCATAATAAATGCTTTGTATGAATCTTTCAGAGCCATTTTTGGCCTTGAAAGCTCCCGGCGCTAAAAGAAAACATGAGTGAATTGTTAGGAAAATACCATTGCCGGGCTGATGTGAGTGCATGGAGGAGGGGAACGGTGTCGTCTTCAGCAACCGAAAGCTGTAACACCTTGCTGCTGCGGTCAGTGTTTCCTAGAGCAGCCTGGAGGTGAGGTGAGACAACACCAGAAAACCCAAAACCTCTCTTTTTTGCCAGTTTGCATTTGCAAGGCGGTGCCGAAGCACGAGGCGCCGTTTGCTGTGTAAACACAAGGACCCAAGGTAGGGAGCGAGCGGTGCAAGCTCAGCACACGGAGGAAGCCTGGTGGTGACAGAGGCTGTGAGAAGGGATTCAGAGTGCGTGGGATGTGGAAAGATTCAGTGAGGTGGATGCTTTCGGCTCCCAAAACAGTATTTGCGAGGAACATCTTCAGCCTTGGCTTGCCGTGGGTGATGCGGCGCTCAAAGCCTTGAGTCTCAGGCTGTGCTTTTCCAGTTTTTGGGTTGTTTTTTTTCCCAAGTTTCACTGAATCCATATGTGATAGAGGGACACCAGCGGCAGCCTGCACAGGCTGGGCCCTGCACCCTGCTTTTTTGGGTGGCCACGGCTGCCTCCTGCCCACAGACTCATCAAGGCGGGGATGGCTGGGGGAGGCTGTGCAGGCACTCATCTGCTCTTCTGCTCCCTGTGCTGGGTTTTCCATCTGCTTAGGTATTTCTTAGAATCCCAGGTTGGAAGGGACCACAAGGATCCTCCAGTCCAACCTCCCAAGGTAAAAATGTCATTTAAATGAGATGGGTCAGCACCCTCCCAAGCTGACTCTTCAAACTGACCAACATAGGAGAATCCACCACTTCCCCTGGAGATTGTTCCAATTTCTGATTGATCTCATGGGAAACAAATTTCTCCTGGAGTTCAGTTGGGATTTCTCCAGCAGCAACTTGTGTCCATGACCCCTCATCTTTTCCATGTGACTCCTCGTGAAAAGGGAGTCTCCATCCTCTTGGTGCCTCCCTTTATGTACTGGTACAGGGTGATAAGGTCCCTCCTGAGCCTTCTCTTCCCAAGGCTGAACAGGCCCAGTTTTCTCAGCTCTTCCAGTCCTCTGAGCATCCTCAACTCCCCTCTCTGGACCCTTTCCAACCTGTCCACATCTTTTTTGGATAGCGGGGACCAAAACTGGACACAGTGCTCAAGGTGTGGTCTGAGCAGCGCTGAGTAGAGAGGGATGATGACTTCTTGATCTCTGCTGGTGATGCCCTTTTTAATGCAGCCCTGTTGGTTTCTTTACACTGCAGCACACTGTTAGCTCACGTTGAGCTCCTCATCCACCAGGACCCCCAGGTCCCTTTGCACAGGGTTCTTTCCATAGGATCTGGTATTTATTTACCCCTTAAATCTCCCTGGAATTAATGTATGAAGGCAGCTTGCAGGTGGAGCACCACTGGCTCAGATACACCTCGCTCCCCGATGGCCGTGCTTTGCCTGGCTCCATTCAACCCTCATTGACTGCCTAAAAAAGGCTTTCAGGAAGAATTCCACCAATTTCACTGCCCAAACCCCTGATGCTGAAAGCTGGCAATTAGGAGCAGATGCTTTCCAGCCTCAGCTTGTGCATTTCTCACTCCAGTGGCAGCTGTGACCCGTATCAGAGCCAAACTGGTGGGAGTTGCTGGGTCAGTCCTCGGGCACCGCTTCATCGACTGGGATAGGGGCGGTTCAAAAGCCAAACTCAGACTGGTAGGAAAGGGGTGTGAGGAGAAATATTTGGGTGTGTTATTTCCCCAGCAGAAATATTTCCTAGCAGAAGCCTAATGAGGGTAAGTCCCTTCCAAATTCTGCTTGACGAGGCTGAAACTCAAACCAGTCCCGAGTGGGAGCTTTGGGGGCTGCGTTTGCGGTCAAAGAGTCGGTCGCAAAGCGGTCGTCCTGCTGATGTGAGAGGAATGAGGGGAGTTGGTGCTTTCTGGGCTGAAACGGCTTGCAGATCACAGAATCCCAGAGCGTTAGGGATTGGAAGGGACCTCCAAAGCTCATCCAGTCCGATCCCCCTGCCGGAGCAGGAACACCCAGATGAGGTTACACAGGAAGGCGTCCAGGCGGGTTTTGAATGTCTGCAGAGAAGGAGACTCCGCAACCTCTCTGGGCAGCCTGGGCCAGGGCTCTGTCACCCTCACTGAGAAGAAGTTTCTTCTCCAATTGAAGTGGAACCTCCTGTGTTCCAGTTTGTGTCCGTTACCCCTTGTCCTATCATTGTTTGTCACCGAGAAGAGCCTGGCTCCATCCTCGAGATACCAGAGAGGAAAGAGAAAAAACAGAGAGAAAAAGTTAAAAAAAAAACCAGAGAGAAAAGGGAAAAGCCCCGCGGCGCCGGGCGAGCGCAGGCAGGAGCAGGAGCTGGAGGTAGGCTGGGCTCTTCTGTGGTTTGGAAAATAGGTCAGTGCTCTGCAAACGCGCTGGCAGTGGCGACCGGAGGAGATGCTGCAGCTGGCGGAGGAGGGGATGATGCTCCCTTCGTTCCTTGCACGGGGAAATTTGGGTTTCCTAAGGCCTGGCTTTCGGGTGCTTGGGAAGGAGCCATCCCGGGTTGAAGAGGAATCCGTGGTTAATGCATAGCTGGGAGGGTGGGGTTTATTGCACCGCTATAGAGCTGTTGTGCCACTGAAATCTCACAGTTACACAGCGTTGTATTGATTAAAAACCGCTCCTGATAAGGACGTGGCCGTCCCTTCCCAATGCAGCTCCACTCCTTTGTGGACACAGGAGGCCGTTGCATTCCCCTTAAGAGGAAACGTGGGCTCGGAGGCCTTGCTGGCCGGAGCAGGGGTTCTGACACCGCTGGCAATGATTTTAACCTGTGATTGTGTGCCCCAGAGCCAGAATTCAAAGGGAGTTCACTGGAGCTGGAAGGGGTTGGGGTCTCAGCGGGCGCCGTTGCCTCGATCTGCAGTTTCGGCTTCCTCCGTGTCGGAGCTGGCTGAGGTTCATGTTTGCTCTTGCTAAGGGGGGTGAATGAACCCGCCCGTTTTGGGGCAGCTCTCGACGCTTAATTCTTTTCCTCCCGCTTCATTTGACGTATCCTTGCCCTTTAAAAGCGAGCCACTCGATTTATTGCCTTGCGCTTTGATGCGAAAGACCTTGACTACTTCGAATTGCCCCGAGAGATACCGGTCTTGGCACGGCTTCTGCATCAGCAGCACTTCTCGTGCTCGCGTCTTATCAGCCTCAATTCCCAGCTCTACCCAGCCCACGCTGCAAGGTCGTACAGGGAAGGGCTAAAAAAAACCCCCCAAACCCCCCAAAACCAACCCAGGGATAGACCCGAGGGGCTCGGTTTGCCGCGTGGTTGAGGCCTGCGCGACGCGGAGATGCCGAATAAATTCGCTGATGGCTTTCTCCTGCGGTTTATAAAAGATTCATGGCGAGCGAGCGGCCTAAAAAAAGCGCTGCTCGTGTTGTCTCCTCTTGCTTTAGTTACCTCAATGACTTGGATAGAATATCCCAGCCGACCTACATCCCGACGCAGCAGGACGTCCTGCGGACCAGAGTGAAAACCACCGGCATCGTGGAGACGCACTTCACCTTCAAGGACCTGTACTTCAAGTAAGTGGAGGGTGGCGCTCGTCCCCGGGGACTGCGGTGACTTCCTCGCTGCTGGTGGCATTGGGAGGTCCCACCCCTGCGCTGGGACATGTCCTGCCCTGTTTTAACTGTCTTCCTTCCTCCGTTACGCTCCCTCTCCGCTGGCATTGCTCACTGGAGAGACCGGTTTGACTTTGATTTGCCTTCTTCTGTTCTTTTCAGCTGCTTTTATGTGGGAGCCGCACATGCAGGTACCGGTTGCTCGTTTACAGGCTCAGAAAGAGAAATACGTGTACTAAAAGGACACTGACTCCTGGATTTTGAGCTTGAGTTTGACCCCCTCTGCCGTGGGAGACGAGAGCTCTCCCCGCTGTCAGCCCTGGCTCCGGGCTGCATGGAGGTGACAGCGCTGACGCTGCGGAGCCCAAAGCTTTGGGTGACACCGCACAGGAGGGGACTTCCCTGTCCTCTCTGCTCCTAAATTCGGTCCCCGCAGGCTCCTGGCAGTGTCCCTTTACGCGGCACTAATCGAGCTCCTCTAACCCCGTAGCAGCTGCACTTTAGCTCTCCCCGCTCTCCATCTGCTCCTTAGAAACTCCTCGCTTTGGCTCCTGACGAACGGCCCCGAGCCCCACGGGGTCAGCGTTCATGTCCCGTAACGTGGCTGTAGGAAAACGCAGCCCCTGGATCTTTGGGGCGAGCTCCTTTCGTCTGTGGCAGCGTTTTCAAGTCGTTGCTCCTTTAAATAAGCATCTGTTTGCTTATTTTGAGCTTGAAAACCCTCGGAAAGAGCTATAGCGAGAGTGCGAGTGTCGCTTAGAAAACCCCCTGTATATTTTGCACGCTTTCTGTGGGGAGAGCAGCAGAGCTGTGGCTTCTGAGCTGTCGCAGCCGATGAACCCTTTGAACAAGGGTGCTGCAACACTTCGCAGCGCCGAGCTGCTCCCGTGGCTTCTGGTTCGCCCAGGGTCCTGCGTTGTGATGTTAAGAGCAGCGTTTCCTCCAGTGCAGTGCTCTTTGAAAAACCATCGCGTCCCACTGACGAGCCGGGGGGTGGCGGGAACGCTCCGTTTAATCATCACAACCCCGCTTTTCAAGCTGAGCGCTCCCCGACGCGAGGAAGGGAATTGCTGCTTCCCAAGCCTGCCTGGAGCCATTGATCATGTGCAGAGCCCCAGCCACGAGGTGTCTCATCTCGGAGGGCTTTGCTCCACAAAGGGAAGCGTTAATACATCTTCCACCCCGATTCTGCCACCTTCTCCGCCATGGGAGCCTTGATGTTCGATCTCAGACGTTAATGACGAGCGGAGGTAGCCCGGGCATCGCCGTGACCCGAATTTGGATGAGGGATGCTCTTCCTTTCCCGCTGTCTCGGCGCTCACAGCAGAAAGTGATGGCAAACAACAGGAGCTGAGCAAATTGCCTGCATCCTCAGAGATTTTCATCTTTCCCCTGTGGTCTGCGGGGACAATTTACCTTAAATCCACGATTGGAGATAGCTCCTGCTTTGGCATGGTTAAATCACGTCGCTTTGGCCCACCCTGGGGTTTCTCTCTCGTCCGCGTGTTTGCGCTGGTACCAAATCAATATTTCGGATTTTCATAGCTCTCAGCTATTGACTTGCATCTGGCTTGATTTCATCAAGTCGCAGTCCATCAGGACACCCACCTCATCGATGTATTTTGGCGATCTGGGTGTTGCAACCATCCAAAACACTTGAATCTTTGCTTTTGAAGAGCTATAAATTCTACGAGCAACTTCTGCAGCCTTTAAACTTCAGGAACTCAGAGATACCTGTCACTTTTTTTCAATACAAGAAGCTGTTTCTTAGCCCCGTTAATTTATTTCTGGGGCCCGGCAGCAGCGTGCAGGTGGTTTGTTGCAGATAATCCCGTGTCGGTTCGCTGCGAGAGCCGACCGTGAGTAGGTGTTTGGAGTCCAGTCAAGCAACTGGAGCGTTGCTAAGGAAATAGGAGACAGAGAACAAAATAAGCGTGCCCTGGTGAATCAGCAGATGTAGGTAACATCCAGTTCTT